AAAAAGTAAGATTTCAGTGAATTGAGTTAAGTCAGTGTCTGCAAAAAAATATTTCTGTTCATGAAGTCGCATAAATTATTTTTAAATTCCGGAATGAGGTTTCGATTTTGAATTTATAGATATCAGTTTTCCAGTTTTTTCGGCCGATTGAATGGAAAAGATGTTTTCAGTTTTTTTTTTTATATTTTGCTTGTTGATATGATTAGTGTGGGGCCAAAAATAAAGATGCATAAGCTCGGCCCAAATTTGAGATATTGCTAGAATGGTTGATTTTAAAAAGAATTTTTAATAAATGGCCTGGTTCTCCGTCGAATGATTTATTAACTGGTTTTGATTAACATTTCTCCAGGAAAAAAATTTCAGAGATTTTATGAAAATTTAAAATGATGTCTAGCTTCGAGAGGAATGCGAAAATATGCTTGTGATACTCTTCTTGGTATGTGGAGCTTGGGGCTAATGCGATATGAATTGACAAACTGTTATTGTGAAATTTCTTTGATCTGATCGATTAATTTGTAGTTGATGAATGGTCGTGGCAACAAGGCCAACGGAGCGGTGAACAATCAAACTTTCAGAAAATTCCTGTACAATAAAGACAAAGGCACATGCCTTGGACGAACTTCGAAGTCATGGGGTTAGCATTTTTTATTTTCAGTCTTGTTCACTCCCTGCACGAGTGTAGTTCCGTGCTGGCACACTTTCACAACTTTGGTGCGACTAGCAACTGAATCGCCAAGGCAAAATGAATTGTTCCGACACTCATAAATTAATAACCGAGTTATCCGAATTCTCATGCACCAGATGGTTGAATCTTTCGGACAGTCACATGGTACTTATTATTTCCGCTCCTACCCGCACACAAAGTTCGGTGTGTGTTTACAACTAAGGGATGAAACGCAGACAACATCCTAATATGTCCTCAGGTACATGATACTTAGGCTAATCCCTTATCTCTTATTTTATTGAACTGTGTGGACAGACAGCTGGAGTATTGCGTTGATGGTGCTGTTGCCCAGCAGCTGTCTATTTTTCAAATGAACGAATTGTTAGTAGAAAAGATGACTCAGGGGGTCTTTCGTCCTCCCGGCGATATAGGCACCAGTGCTACAAAAGTCCAGGCTTAAAACTAAAATTGAAGAAAACTCTCTTCCGTACCCCCTTTCCCCTGCTCGTCGCCACACCAGTAGACCATTTTCCCCCTGGCCACCCGCTTTCCCCCTCCCCTCCCCCACCAAGAAGCCGTCCTGGATCCGCCTGTGGGAAATTAATTAGATTTGTTAATGGTAATGCTCGTGATCGTCTTCCCTTTGTATGCTTTTTTCGTTCTTCAGGAATAAAAAGCTGATGTGTTACATCCACATCACCGCTGCTTGTTACTTTGGTGCTTTGATCACTTGCGATTCATAGTGTGCTTCTCGAGCTGTGCAGCTGAGAACTTTCCTAGTTGTTTTGTTCAGTGCCTGTTTTGCCTGTGGTTTGCTTATTCCCGATTTTGGTTTTCGTTTTTTCTGCTGAGAGATTGCCAGCTGACAAAAGCATTTAGCAGGCCTAAAATTGTTGAATATCACCACTTCATCTCGAGCGGTACCACTCCTGAACCGTAATAAGATACCTTACCGATTAGGAGCACTGGTACTTTCAAGCAACAGTATCTGTGCAAAAAAGCACACCCCGTGAGATCTTATCTCATGTTTTTCTTTTTTCAGTTCAAATAATCGCATTTTATGTTGTCTTTTATTCATCATTGGTAGCGTTTTGGATTGGATGCTTAGCAATATTTCTTAGTACATTGGACTCCAATGTACCTCGATATTATGGTAAAGGCACAATCATCGGAATAAATCCCGGTAACTTATTTTGGATTCGTTTTTTTTTTTACAGGCTTGATATCGTATCTGAATAGTAGACAAGTTGTTAAGAATGGCATGTAACTAAGGGAATTCAAAGCGAAGGCAAAAGAAAGAGTGAAAAGAGAAATAAGATGTATTCTCGTTATACGCTGCGTTTTATCATTAAAGTTTACTCGTACCGAGGGCAGTAGCACAGATGGGCACAGAGCAAATAACAAGGAATAACGTAATGAACATCGCGATAATTTTTTTTTGTAAAAAAATATGGAGAAGCAGTCATATTGAGACAGAACGAATGTAGGTCCAAAACTTATAGTAAAAAATAGCAAACGCAAAATCTGTAATAAAATATTCTTTTCAAAACTTATGGTAAA